CCATGGCAACTTTATTTATTAACATAAAATTAAAATCACATTTCAGTACAAATAAAATATCACCATATGAGTTTGCATTTTATTTTTGTTTTTCTTATTCTGAAAACTAATGCTTCGTTAAATAAACCTGGAAATATTGGTAATTTTAAATCTCTTTACCGCGGCCTACCTACATTTTCCACCTGTCTTCTGCAGTTTTGAGGGAGTCTATGACTTACGATGAGTGGATCTATTGAGTTATAAGATCCAGGGTACTCAGAGTTTAACTTGGAAGCTTCCTGTGCTTATCTCCTTTTAATGAATCTTTAAAACCTCATCTCTAAAACTTTGCAGCATTGAGTCTTTACTTTTTTAGGCTCATAATTACCTAATAAACTTTGAAGGAGTCTCATGCAGTACATTATCTTTTTCTCATAAAGGAATTTAGATAAATGTTATTTCCAACCTTTCCTACTTTTTTATGTACATCAGATTACCACCTACCAATATAAACATCCTTCATGTTTTCAGTTTAGGCTGAGGACTGAGTCTGAAGAAATGCTGTACCTGCATTAAAACTAACTTACCTCTGATAAGAAAATTGACAAATCTCACTTGAGAGCAAACAATTTTAACATACAGAAAATCCCATACACACATACATAAGATTTTAAATTCTGCAACACAGAAACAATTATGTACTGTGCTTTGAAACATCATACAAATTCTATTCGTACAAATATGCCCGTTTTCATATATACAAGCTTATTTTTATTCCTTGAAATTTCAATACACGCACACAACATACCTTGATCATCTCTCCCTCTCTCCAGCCATCCCCAGGATTCCCCATCACATTTCCTTAACAACATCATGCATTTCTTTTTTATAATCTATTTATTTATTCTGTGAGTCAAACAGCAGTGTGCATATGTACATAGTGTGGGGTCAACCATGGGGGCATTGGGAATTGACCAGTAGCCATATTCTTAATTTTTAACTGACATGGTCTCGTGCAGGCTTTGTATGGGTAATCACAGCTGCTATGAGTTCATGTGTGCCGCTGCCATGTGAAGTCAAGGAAAATATTCCACACCACTGCTCTCCATCCTCTTGCTCTTACATTCTTTCTGCCTCTTCTTCTATGGTGTTCCCTGAGCCTTGGCTCAGGGGCTGGGTGGTTGACAAACATGAGAAGTGGAGGGAGCCCAGAGAGTGTGTGTGAAGAGTGGATGAAGTTCTGAGTGGATGCATATTGTTGACATGGGCAGGGCCTTGTCAAGGACCCATTTGCCTCATCCATAAAAATTTGGCACTCCCCTCCCCAAGCAAGTAGATGAGTCTCAGAAAGATGGCAAACCCTACCTCTGGTTTGAGTGTGAATATTGACAGTGAGAGCAAGTCTGAGTGTTTACAAACAACTGGCCACACTGTATGCAAAACTAGAAACTGCAGCTTCTTCCTCCTGGATATTTACTGTCTGAGACTGCTCGCCTAAGGAGACCTCCTGCTGAGACTACTAAGTCTTCTCCCTGTGCTAGACATGATAAATATGCTGAGGTTCCAGGTCATTGTATAGTAGGTGAGGCTCCATCAGAGCCCAAACCACCTGACCCTGTTTTTCTGTATGTGTACCTGTGTGTCTGTCCTTTCTTCATTTTTTTCACCATCTCTGGTCATGTTTCAAGGCCCCAAACCACTCAGGAAATTGGAAATCAAGCTGTTCAATCTAGAGCTGAGCACCCACAGTCACATAGTCTCAGCCCATTGAGTTACAATAATAACAGAGTAATACATCTCTGAATTAACTGGGGCTCACTGCAGTAAGAGGCTCCACTGACCAAAGTCAGGAGCAGCACTGATCTAGTTACACAAAAATAAATATATAGAAGGCAGTTTGATAACATGAGCACTTAGAAAACCATCCTCTGTAGGTTATCCCCTAGAACTTATGACTTCCCTAGTCATGGGTATTTAACATGTGTGCAGTACCAACTGTGAATTTCTTCCTGTGAACTAGGCCACAAATCCAATCAAAGGAGTAGCTGGTTACTTCCGTAAACAGACTTGTCACTATTGCAAGAGTGGACACATCTTGTTGCCATGTCGGCTCATGGCATGCAAGGTTCGG